CATTTTGAAAATGCCTATTTTGAGTGGAAGCAGAAACACGCTGTTTTTCGTGCCTGTCTCTTTAAATGCAAATGAGCTGCTGCTCCCCGCCCCCTTTTCCAGAATAGAGCTGCGCCATTACAGCTCAGACCTACTAAACACATCTGTTTTGGTTCTGATTATAATGTTTATCGCGCTGAAATCATGCATTTTAAACGATATGAGTTTAAACTTCTGATATACGGTTTTCTGAGCGCACACATCCGAAGTACATGCACAGAAAGCGGCTGTCACAGCATGTGAGTACTAAACTAAGTTCTCATTCACACACAAGTTTACGTTAAAAACACACATGAGTTACATAAAACAGTGGGTTATGTCTGTGAAGGTAAACAGCTGGGAAATAAATCGCATGTATATTTTAGATCTGTGTGGCAGCAGCAATATACAGTAAATAAATCAATAAATGCACTGCTCTGTTGTCTCCTCTGAGGCTGGGACTCTAAACAGTGTTCTGTGCTCGTCTGTGCAGCCAAACACAGAACAGTTAGTGTGTTTTGCTCAAACTTTCATCATGGCGTTAGAACTGCTACACCGTTGTCGCTTCCGAAACCAAATGACGGCGCCGTGGGTGGAAACATGCAGATTAAGGGGCGGTAATATTATAATGAGATCCCTTTGCCACGTCACCAAGCGAAGCGAATCAGACGCGCTAGTTTTCTCAGACGCTTGCAGAAAAAGGCTTCCCAAAACAAAGTTACTGGGTTCATCTTTTTCATGTTTCCTTGGTTGGTAGATGCACCGGGGACCTGATTATAGCTCTTAAAATTTTTTTTTATGATATGTCACCTTTAAAAGAAAACGCTTCCCCGCCAAAGACGAGTTTTTACAGCTTTGCGTGTTTTCACTGTTATACACGCTAGTACGCATCTTCTGAACGAGTACAAAACCTCCCGAACAAAAACACACGTGAACAGGACGGAGAAACGAGGGATATCTTATGTAAACAGATGCATATGAAAAATAATGCGATCATCAGCAATAGACAGCATATAAATGAAAACTGCATAATGTTACGGAGTAAAATGTTGATCCAGGAATAAGTCTGTGCAAGCTTTGCAGGTGTTGATGGAAGCGATTTACTGCATTTATGCTTTGATAATCGTACTGAATATTATCCAGATGTAGTTTTTGATAAAAATGTGATTTTCTCACCTTTTTGCTCAAAATTATTAATTTTTATGAAACCTACCTATATTCAAGTGTTGATAAAAAAGACTTCTTTAAGATAGAATAAAACTGATTTTTTTTGTTTAAAAGTAGAGGCTCTGATCTATGGTTTTTATTTTAATTTTAATTAATGTTTTAGTTTTTTTGTTTGTTTTTTAATATTGTTTATATATATCCATACATTTTTTAATTCATTTTTATTTCAGTTTTTGTTATTTTAGTACAGCAAATTAAATGAAAATGAGAAATATTGCCTTGGCAACTAGCTGAATAAAATAAGTTTAGGGTTTTTTATATTTTATTATTTTATTTCAGTTTAACTTTATTTTTCAAGTCAGAAAAATGTTTTTGTTGTTGTTGTTTTGGGTTTTTTTTGTGTGGATTTAGTTTTAATTAATAATAATAACCCTCGAAGGCACCTCGTTGTACAATACAATATATATCTCCAATATATGCTAAGATATTTACAGTAATTATGACAAAGCGGCTTGTTTTCAAAATTTTCATTAAGAGAATCTGGGATTATTGATATATTCAATTAATTAACTAAGATTAATTTCATGATTCCAAAAGTTTCAAGAAATATATGTGACCCTGTCTGTGAAATCCAGGCTAAAGTCTCAGAATCCTTCCATAAATATTAAGGGGGGGAAAATAAACGTTTTCTTTTAGCCTTTTAATTTAGATTAAACTTTAGGCTTTAGGTTAAACTACTGTATAAAAGTTTGGAATAATTAAGTTTATATATATATATATATATATATATATATATATATATATACATATATATATATACATATATATATATATATA